TTCATAGTTTTTTTAAGCTATAGTCCGGCCCTCCAATGGGTCTGAGGGACAGTGAACTGGCCCCCTGTTTGAAAAGTTCGAGGACCCCTGAACTAGAGGAAAGTTGTATGTTTCATCAGTGCTATACTCTTCCCTGACTGGTTCGTGTCTTCCTTCTGGCCCATCTGTAAGGGGATGTCCAGTTGTGTACAGAAGGGTTATGGATCTCCATTCCATGCTCCCCATCATTCACATTGATATGATTTTTCTTTCTGGGTCTTTGATGCCTGATACTTGATGCATTGACACTTCATGATCACACAGGCTGGTATGTTTCTTTCATGTGGGCTTTGTTGCTTCTCAGCTACATAGCTGCTTGTTTATCTTCAAGCCTTTAAGACCCCAGACGCTATATCTTTTGGTAGCTGGGCACCATCAGCTTTCTTCACCACTTTTGCTTATGCACACCCGCTCTGTCTTCAGTGATTGTGTTGGAAAGGTGAGCATCACAGAGTGCTGGATTGTTAGAACAAGGTATTTTTGTGTTAAGGGAGTACTTGAGTTGAGACCCAATATCCATCTGCAACCTTAATGCTTAACATATAGATATGAGTACATAGTTCTTTTCCCCACTCATTTAATATATATGTGTATATATTTATTATATATGTATTTACATATGTACATGCCTGTATTTAGACCTCTATGAATTTCCTTTGCCTCCTAGTTCTTTCCTCTATTTCCTTTTACTTTCCTCTTGCCCCACTATCATGGTAGGCCTTCATTCGGGTTTCAGTAATTCTTTGCGGTTACATTGCCCTTGATTCAGCCCCACCAGACATCCTAAGCAGTCCTAGCCATTGAGTTTAGATCACTTATTTTTCCCTTGCCCCTGGGTTTGTTAACACCCACTTCCTTTCCCCTGCCTCTCTCTCTCCCATGTCTCCCCGCCCCCCAACCGTTGGTCCCATTGTTTTCTCCTCCGGATTGTTTATCCCACCTATCTTGTCTAGTTAGACATGCAGAGACAATAATAAGCACAACAACAAGACAAAGGAAAAGAAAAAAAACCCAATACAAACCACCACCACAACAAAAGATGACAAGAAAAACCTATAAATTGTGTCAGGTCTGTTGATCTTTAGGCATGTTTTCCAGTGGAATCTGATGGGGTGCCACGCTCTTGCCCCAAAGTATCTTTTTGGTATTCCCAGGGGACTTCACTGCTTTGCTCCCCTTGCTGCTCTGTTGCACGTCCTTAGCCTTTTGCCCGGGAGTGGTGGGGTCAGATCGGGCACCGTCCCGCACTGTGCCGCCAGTGTTATCCATCAAAGTGCTATGGGTCAGTGAGGGGTGCCGGGTCTCGTGGTGGGACCGGCCCTATGGTCCTCTCTGTGCATTGGCTGCTCTGACCAGGAATATCGTCCTTGGGGCTTGGATTGCACAACTCTTTGAAATACACCTAAACCGTTAGATACTATATGTGTATTGCATGTCCACAAAACTGCTAAAATGAAATAAAAATAACTGAAAATAAATAACGATGCTGCAGCTGCCTGCAGTCAAGGGCAGTATGTAATGGCAGGAATACCAAGTGAGCAAATGAAGGCAGGCCATCTTGCTAGTGTTCAGGTAACCTAACCTGGAGGGCCTACAGTGGTTCTCAACCTGTGGGTCGTGACCTCTTTGGGGGTTGAACGGCCTTTTCACAGGGGTCTCCTGATTCTTAACAGTAGCAAAATGACCATGAAGAAATAGCAGCAAAAATAATTTTATGGTTTGGGGGTCACCACAACATGAGGAACTCTATTAAAGGGTCGCGGCAGTAGGAAGGCTGAGAAGAACCGAATAAAGGGGATTTACCTGTCTAGAAATGTCTGTCCTAGGAATTGTGGGTAAGACTGGGATTATACTGTGACCTAACTTGTTGGATAAAGCTGGGGATGAAATAAGGTAGTTGCTTGATGTTTTCTCCAGGCTGACGGGATAGAGGGACTGCAGAGGGACGTTTTGCTCCATAGAGACTACCTGGAGCCAGACTTGGGCGGCTCTTTTGAGATCAGTTGGGTTAGCTGCCTTTGGCATTCTCCTTGGGAGTCTAGCTTCTCTTCATCAACTGGGAATAGGCAAGTGCAGGGGACAGGTATCACTAGAAATCAGGGTTCACTCCCTGCCCCCCACTGGTGTCTCTAAGGGGACACACATGAAATGTCCAGGGGCCCTGAAGCTCCTTGGAGGGGTCAGGTTTCTTGAATTTCTTAAGTGCTCAGGCTAGGCTCAGGAGAGGAATGTTTAGGGACCTCCTCAACCTAACATGAACTGGCCTGTGAGGTTTGTATGGCGTGGATGAACTATACCTGCAGTGTCTCTTACGGTGGCCGTGAGTCATCAGTAGCTACTTACACTTAAGTAAAGGAAAATTAAAAGTTCCGTTTCTCTAGCATCATGTTAGTGAGGTGACAGCCATCAGTGGCCCGTGGATACTAGACTACGTCGTGCAAGTACAGCCCATTTGCACCATCCCAGAACGTTCTTTGGGAAGCCCAGGAACTGGACCGTTCCGGTTTGACAGTGTTGGGCAGCTGCGAGAGCTCAAATGAAAGGCTCTGTCGGTATTTTCCATGACTGCCGAAATCCTACTTGTTCTTTCCTCAAGTATGTCTCCTGACCACCCAGCACAGGCCCCCTCACCCCAGCAGACTATCTGGAAGTGAACCGGAGCTTCCTGGCCAGCCTACAAGGGGCCCTGGGGGAAGAATGTAATCTCCATGCTGTCTGGCAGGCCCACCTCTGCTCTGGCCCAAATGTCTGGCAGAAGCCTTTGGCAAACCCTTTGCCATCTCTGCTCTTATGGTCAGTATTCTAAGAATCAGCTTGCGGCATGGGGTCTTAGGTTAGAAAAGCCATTTATTATTTTTTAAGGTAGGTCGGAGGACTCATTTTGGTCAGGCGCAGCAAGGTTAGTGTTGTTGGGGTTGGGATGTAGATTTTGATGTCTTACAAGTGTCAGCAGTTGATTCTGAAAATTCTTTTCGAACTGCCAGTGAGCAAGATTTGGACTTTTCTGACTGCAGTTTCAAAATGCTGGGTTTACTTGAGTCTGTGAATAAAGTGAGAGAGATTGACATGAGATTTACTGGTGTAGGTGGCCAGGCAAAGGGATCGATCATTTAGGATTTTCTAACACTTTGCCCCAAGATTCCTTCTGTGAGCTCCTTAGGACAGATAGGCCAGGCCCGTGGCTTGAGGTCATGGGGGCAGCAAGTGGCCAAGCTGGCACTAGGGCCCAGACTCTTGAATATTTTAATAGCAATATATATATATATATATATATATATGATTAATTTCAATGGTTCTGTGGGTACAACTTAGTGGCATCAATAATAGTGACAGCGATGAAAACTCACTGCCATCGAGTCACTCCTGACTCACAGGGACCCTGTTGGACAGGGTAGAACTGCCCCTGTGAGTTTCCATGAAGGCAACTCTTCATGGGATAAGAAAGCCTCATCTTTCTCCCAAGGAGCAGCTGGTGGTTTTGAACAGCCAACCTTGAGGTTAGTAGTCCAGTCATGCTGTGTAACCATGGCCCACATCCTTTCTGGGCCCCTGACTTTCTGACACTTTAGCCAGTGCTGTCTTCTGTACACCCCCACTGCCTGCCTCTCTGGAATATTCTAGAAACCTAGAGAACTAGTGGGGTGTTGGGTGAGCTGTTTGGGCCTGGGCACCTAGGAAGAGGCACCATTTGGAGCCATTTTTTTCTGCACCACTTGCTTCGCTCACTTTACACAATGATTATTCTACCTGGGTGGACAGACAAGCGTTTATTTTGCCAATGCCTCATGACAGGATGTGCTGGCGCAGGAAGACACACTGGGCCATAAAAGCACACCCGGTGCTTTGCCCAGTAAAGGACAGCATTCACCTTCATACCTCTGGCCATTTCCTAGTTTTTATCGGCTCCAGCACTAAGCCTTGCGGGACCTCAGCTGGCTATGGGGAGAACTCATGTTGCTGTTCTTGGTAGCTGCATCAGCAACAAGTCCATAAACGCCCGGGGCAGACAAATCCCTCAAATGTCGCCATTTGACATGATGAAACAGAAAACTTTGTCACCCTCCTAGTTCACGTGCTACCTATGTCTTACCTCTTGTGATAACTTTTGACGAATGTGGGCTGGGGTGCTTACTCCCATCTTCAAAGACTACTCTCCTCTGTCAAGACAAAGGTGAACCATTACCAGAGTTCTCTACACTTTGTTGGTTAGTAAGTGCTCCAAATACTGACTCTTTGAGAGTGATCGTGAGCTTGACCTCTTGCAACTCTGACCCCTCAAATCAGTCCCTTGCTGCTTCTGAAGCAGACTCTCGAGGGCCCAGGTGTGCCAGGTCACAGAAGCATGTCATGCCTGACTGCCCCTTCCTTCCTGGAACATTTTCGTTTCTTCTCTGAGATGGTTTCCAAAACCAAACTGACTGCCGTCAAGTCCAATTTGAACAACAGCGATGCTGTCGGACAGGGTGGAGCGGCCCGTGTGGGTTTCTCAGACTGTCACTCTTTATGGAAGGAGAAAGCCCCATCTTTCTCCCAAGGGTGTCAGGTGCTTTCAAAAGCCCACCAGGACTCCCTTCAGAGAGGGTTAGGGGAGGTAGGGTTGTTTTTTCGGGGGTGGGGGAAATATGAATTTTGCCACCCCTGTCTCCTTTTATGGGTCAGCATCGACCTTATGGCAGTGAGTTTCTTTTGTTTTTTGTTTTCCTTTTATAGAAATC